TCCGGGTATCATGAAGCTAGTACTTGTAAAAGAGAGTATCCACCTAGTAGCGATTGTCTCTCACATCACAGTCAAGTCCGCATACCCTCCTCCTTATTCCGGCAAACAGGACACCCCCTCGGAAGGCGCGAGCGCAACGTCGCGGTACTGCAAATTCTGTCAGCACCATATCTACAGGTACCCGAATGAAATATCACTCACTATGCAATCTTTGCGCTGATCGCCCTCGCACCAGACGGAGCCCCAGGTCTCGAACTAGGCGGCGCCGGCACCTCCGCCTCCCCCGCCGCACATCTCGCATGCACGACATGCCTACACAAAAACAACAACCCCGCACTGCCCCTCCCATCCTGAATCGGCAACTCACAAATCGGACACGGTGTCCTAGCCGACAAAAAGAACCCAGCAGCCTGCGCCGCATGAAGTCTCTGTGCCAGAGCTGTAGAGTCTGAGCCTAGGACTGCACGTGCGCCTTCGAGGAGGGAGATCTGGAGGTTGAAGTCGGATAGGATCTTGATTAGGGCTGGTTGGAGACCGGGGATTACGAGACCGTTTTTGATGCGGCGGATTAGGCGGACTGGGTCGATTTCTGCTCCTACGTTTTCGAGAAGGCCGCGGATGAACGCTGCGGAGGGATGGTCAGTTCGAAGTAAGGGTTGCAGTGAAGAGAGAGAGCCATACGTGGACGTGTCTCGGAGTACTTGAGCAAGTCCTCCCATAGATCGTCATCGCTCTGCTCCTTCGCGAAGTCGATTGCCTACTCAAAAGTAATTAGCCTCTCGTGCCCCATAGTGCTCAAGCTGTTACTTACACGAGTGACATCCCCAAGTCTGTCGATGATGAGATACAACGCTTGCTTATTATTCCCCATCCTGCCGAGCAAGAACACCATCTCCGGCACAAGATCGCGATCCGTGCAGATCTTGTACGCCTGCTCGAGATTATACTGACTGCTGACTCGCAAGAAGTCGATGAGTTTATCAGGCGCGTACTCCGCATATAGCTTGACCTATCATATATTAGCATCAGTGAACACGAAACTCAACCAAGTGCGAGGATATAAAGACGGACCTGCGTATCCGCGAAATCAGCAGTCAACTGCGGATCCTTCTCGCTCAACGCATCCAGGTACAAGAACAAGAAATAAGGCCTGCTCTCCAGCTGCTTTATAACCCTCGGAATCGGGATCGAGTACGTATGATCCACAAGCAACTCGATCGCCTGTCCCCTTCCCTTCACAACTTCCCCTGCACTTGCTCGCTTCTCGCGCAATTCCGCGTCGAACTCTACGAGCAGCAATGCTTGATCTTGTACGTCGGTGAAGAGGTTGTGTTCCCTTATAAGATCGAAGACATTCGCGCGGCGAAGACGGAGGAAGAAGGGTAGGGCTTTGCCCGGTTGACGGTTTGCGGTGTATAGTTCTGCGAGGCATTCCATGAGGATCGTCTGTGACGACTGTGAGGGAGATACTGGGCGTGAGGAAACGGGGGTTGAGGTTGAGGGAGCACGCTCGAGCTCAGATTGGATGGCGTAGATGACGGCTGAGACGTCGTAGATGTCGGTGGGCCATTCGCGGATCGTACGTTGTAGCTGCGTGCGGTCGTTCGCTAGGAAGTGGGCTAGGATCATCTCGTAGACGAGGTGATCTAAGCGTGGTGACTCAGTCGGCACATAGGGGATCACATCCTATACCAAGTCAGCGAGAGATCAAAGCTCTACAAGGCCTGTGACTAACCTGCAGATGGTGTTTTTGCGCAAACACGAATATCCAATCCTCCCATCTCTTCGTATCATGTCCGCACACCTTCGGACACAACTTCGCCGCCTTCGCAAACTCCCCCTCACCAACCAGATGCTCGATATACCGCTGCCCGATCGCACTGGCGTCCACACTTCCAACACCCTCCTCCTGCTCGAGCACCTCGACCTCACTCAATGCCTCCTCATACCTCTGCTTTTCCACCAACCACGCAATATGATCTTTCCTATCTCGAGGTCTGACCACGATTGCATCTCGAGGGCTGAGAACGAGGTACGCTCTGGTATCTCCGACATCGTCCGGGTCGATCTCTGCCAGCGAGTAGTCTCCACATGCCCAGCGCTCGAACCCAGATACAGTGAGCGCGTCCGCAGCAAGCTCTTCGCCTCCACGACTGACAACACGCAGTTCGGGCCTCTCAGCCAGCCGTCTAGCCTGCTGCGACCTATCGGCCACGGCCTCATCCAAGAACGAGTCGTCCGGGGGTGTATACGCCAACACCAAAAAGCTCGTCGGCGCCGTCTTGGTATTCGCACTACTGCGTTCCCGACGATGTCCATGGGCATGCCCTTGCGCCGCCGCAAACGAATGAGGAAGCGGATGTGGTACAATACCCGCAATCATACAGTCAAGCTGAAAGACGGCTGTAATCTCGACGACCAACGGCGGTAAATTTCCAGAGGGCGTGGCAGTCCTCGGCCGTGCTCTAACCCTCGCAACCTTAATCATATCCGCCCACGCAATGAGAAGCGTACTATCGTCCTGCCAATGCAACGTCGCCTTGAACAGATCCGCCCTGGGCGCATCGGTCGGTCTATCCACGTACGTGATCCTCGTCTGACTCTGCGTGTCGTAGATTTTGACGCCTAGATCGTTGGCCCACGCTATTAAATTGCCTCGCCATCGGGCTTGCCAGATGGGTCCTTCGCCTTGATGGAGTGTTGTCTCTTTGTGGCCTAGCCAGCCTTTCTCGTGCATGACGAGGGTACCGGCCATACCACCACAGATGAAAGCTCGAGTGCCGCTCTTTGCGAATGTGGGTTCGAGGGCTATTGTACGCATGGGTCGTTTCAAGTTGAAGGAGTAGGCTTCCGTCGTGGAGATCGATTGAATGAAGATCAGACCTGGTTATAACTCAGTTTGAGGGTCGAATGCTGTAAGAACAGTGTTATGTACCATCAATAGATGCTGTCCCAATAAAGTCTGCAGAAGCGTCGAAATGCATGTCTGTGATGGTTGCAGTATGCGGCTTGAATGACCTGATGCGTTTGCCAGAGAGGTCGAGCACATGCACGAATCCGTTATGGGTGCCGAAAGCCTTGCAAGTACATCCATTAGGTAACATAAGCGCGTATAGGTACAGCGAGTTACCAATAGTTTATTCGAGATTGCGAGACAAGAAGCTGAGTCGCGCGTGAAGAGTTCGGGAAATGCGCCACCCAGACGTTCGTATTTCAGAGCAGGCTCCTCGTCCTCCTCGTCCTCCTCGTCTTCCGTGTCTTCGTCCTCCTCTCCTTCCTCTCCCGAGCTGGCCCCATCCGTCTCCTCGCTCTCTTCCACTCCCTCACGCTGCTCCTCTTCACCCTTCTCGACCTCTTGCCTGCTACCCTCTCCGCCACTGACACTCCCATCGCTGACCGCCTTTCCATTTCCATCCTGATGTGCAAAGTCAATCACACCGACAGCACCCTTCGTTGACTCCTCGTCAGCAGCGTCAGACTCAGAGCCATCATCGGCGTCAAGTCCTTCTGCAGCAGTTACAGTCGCTACTGCGGCCTCATGTTCGGCAAGCGCGTCCTCGAGTTCGCGCTGCTCGGTAGCCGGGGAGCCAGGCACGCTGCCAGCTGGAGCGGAAGATGACATGACAGTGATTCAAGCGATGCTGTATATCTCGAGTAGGTAGAAAGGACTCAGAGCCAGCTGTATGTCCGTAGCAAGTGGCCGTGATGTACGCCGGCTGCAAGCGCGCTGCAGCTGCTCTGACGTCCGAGACGCGCGCGTATATAGCTTTCCCACGCCGCACATAGGCTCAAGTCACTAAACGCGTACTTCTATCGATGACCGTCATGATCCCTACTCTATGTCGTTTACGCCGTAGCCACCTCCCCCTCAACCGCCTTCTCCTTCAAGAACTCCCTGAGCTTCTCCAACGCGCGATACCGATGCGAAATCAAGTTCTTCGCCTTTGGGTCCATCTCCGCGTACCTATCACCCGCAGTCATCAGCCCACTTTCAGAAACACAGCACACACAACAGATTAATACGCACGTCTTTCCTTCACCTTCGACAGGCTCGAACACAGGATCCCAGCCGAACTTCGGAGGACCGCGGGCGGGCACGATGTGGCCGTCCGTACGACCTTCGAAGAGGATGGGCTCGGCGTCAGGGCCTGCGCAGTAGGCGAATGTGCAAAGGGCCCATGCGGCAGTTGTATCGAAGCCTATGAGGAGCTTGTTCAAGCCTAGAATATATACCGTTAAGCGTGAATACTATAAGGAAAGCGACTGAGTAAACGTTTACCTTCGTGCCCGAGATCTTTGAGGAAGAACTTGATGTATGGGCCCGGAAGACCATTAAGTGCGGCGAAGCATAGCGCGGTGTCTTCAGTGATGCATGGTCCACCGACCTATAAACGAGCCACACAACGTCAACAGTGAACCCGATTCGGCTGATCGTAGCATGAGGCTCACAATCTCAGCCGCGCGCTTGCATTTTTCGCGCGCAACGTCTTGCGTCGAACCTTGGATCTCTGGCACTGCAATCGAACGCATCATCAGAGCTCAAGCATTTATGTATGAACAGACGTAATGAATATAGCATACAGTCAAGTGCCCGCGATTCGAGTGCCAGAGGTGCGCCTCCTGCAGCTAGTATGGCTTTCACTTCCGCGAGCTTGTTGGCATTGCCCGTGACGAAGACTGCGAGCACGAGGATACGTGAGCTCACGGGACGAGAAGATCAACAGCGCGATCTGTACCTAGCTGCTTTTCAGACATGATGGAAGGGTAAGTACAAAGACAAACGAGGTCGATGCCGATAGATATCTACTCTCAGGTGTCAAGTTCGTGCGATATAAAAGTCGCTCACCACCCTTGAGTCAAGCACAGTCAATGTTCCGGGAAACGCTGAAAGCTTTTGCGGCGGTTCCGGCGTACACGCGTATCAGCAATTAATCATTTTTCAAGCGGAAGGCAAACGGAAGTGCAGAAGAAGCGTCAGAACGAGAGAAGCGCAAAAAAAGTGACCACCGCAGGACTCGAACCTGCAGCCTTTTGATAGGATAGTGTAAGACGATCGAAGTCAAACGCGCTACCATTGCGCCAGGTAGCCATGTATACATGTTAAGTGCACATAAACATATCCACAGCATCCACATGCTCCACCTCTTGCGCATGTGTGTTCTTGTGCTTACACTCGACGACCATGGTAGTTTAGACTGACTAGGAAATGTCTTACCCTCTGCCACCGCCACTCCTAGACTTCATCCGTACCGCCTCTGCCAACCCGATTATCCAACAACTGGCCCCGCTCATCGGTCTCTTCGCACTCCCCTTCGCCGTCCTACTAGCTCGCAACTACGTACTTTCTGCATTCACCCGTACCACTATAATGCTCGCCACACTTTCCTCTGCTATGCCTTGGAACTGGGGGACCTCGAGTGATACGTCTACCGCGGAATCTAAGAGGAAACCGCGGACGCGCGCAGAGATGCTGGAGCGCAAAGAGGCCAATGCGCGTGTTGTGGAGGAGACGGAGGAGCGTGCTGCAGACGCGAGCGCGCATTATACTGGGCTTGTGAACGTTTCGGGGACGTACTGCTTTATGAACTCGACTATGCAAGCGCTGGCTTCATTGTCTTACTTGAGACCTTACTTGGACGCTGTACATGCGCGTGCGGAGGAGTTGGATTACCCTAGCCCAGTCACAGACGCATTGAGGGAATTGTTACAGAGTACGCGTGGCAAAACTATATGAATGACTTAGAGGGTGATCAGCTGACATTTGTCGATCATAGTACTGAATGAGCCCCAACCATACGCCCGCGCAATCCGCCCCATGGCCATCATCGAAGCCCTATCCTATACCGAGCCCGGCAAACGCTCGCCCTTATTCTCCTCTCGCGAGCACCAAGACGCACAAGAGCTCTTCCAACTCGTGACGGAACAGCTGAAGAAAGAGGCAACGGGGATGGAGGCAGAGCAGAGGTCCGACCGAGGGTTCGCGGGTGTGAATGCGTTGCCTGGTTCGGCGAATCTTGCGCCTTCGCATGATCTGAGTCGGGCGAGCGTGTTCGATGGGTTGACTGCTAATCGGAGGTGTTGTGTTGAGTGTGGATACACTGAGGCTGTTATGCACTTCTCCTTCGATAGCTGGCAGCTACCGTTACCTCGTATGGCCGTGAGTTCGTCCCCATCTTTGAATATATGCGACATCGTTCTAACTGACTCGTTCGGCAGGCGTGCAGACTGGAGGATTGCCTTGCCGAATACACCAAACTCGAAGTTCTGACTGACTGCATGTGCCGACATTGTTCACTAGTCGCCACACTTGATCGCTTGCGAGAAGAGATCGAGCGTCTCTCCGAAGACCCGAAGCCGACAAACAGTCGCAAGAAGCACATTCGTGAGCTGAAGCGGTCCGCAAATCGCGTCGAATCCGCATTAGCGGAGAAGCGGGAGGAAGAGGATATCAAGGATCTGAAGTTGACTCGCGTGTTCAGTCGGGCGAGTACGAAACAGGCCATGGTTGCAAGAGTGAGTTTGGTTTTGCTCAATACCATGTTCATACGCTGATTTGGGGTCTTCATAGCCACCGCCTGTACTCGTCCTCCACCTCAACCGCTCAATGTCGTACGGCGCATACGCTCAGAAGAACTCCGCCCGTGTGCACTATAACGAAATCCTCGACTTAACACCCTTCGCCACAAGCGGTGCCCTCTCCACCCACCCCGTATCCCCAATATCCGGCCAACCTATGGCAGCATCCACACCCTCTTCCTCATCTTCACTAGCAGAACGCGTTCTATACCGTCTCGCAGCCGTAGTCGTCCACTACGGAACCCACCAATTCGGACACTACGTCTGTTTCCGTCGTCTTCCCACTTCATCACCACCTCGACTTGCTCGCCCGATATCAGAAACGGCCGGTCGACTTGTGTTTACGGATGAACTTGATAAGGATGGGCAGGCCAAGAAGGATGTGGGTCCCGGGACCGGGCGGGGGTGGTTGAGGATTAGCGATGATGCCGTGAGCCGGGTCGGGATTGAGAGTGTGTTGGCGGAGGGTACGGGCGCGTTTATGCTGTACTACGAGCGGGTGCTTCCTCCATTAGCTACCCCGGAGCCAGAGCGCGCAGCGACGCCTGCTGCCGAACCCGCCTCCGCACCTACCCAACTTATCAGCGGGCCTTCACGGCTTGTTTCGCGCGCATCGACACCAGCGCGCATCGTCCGCAGTGTATCACTATCTGGCTACTCTCATGCGCCACATGCAGCCAGCGAGAGCTCGGGGTCGAGCAGATCATCCGGCTCAGACCATGGATCCAGCAGTCCTGGATCTAGCATTACGAGCGTCGAGGAGGCCGAGGAGGTAGAGGGTATTTCCGAAGTTCAGAAGAGCGCAGGAAAATCCGTGGAGGATCCCGAGCGGGAGGATACGCCGGTTCCGCCTGTTGACCCGCCAGAAGGTGGTACTACATCATAGCTTCTGTGGATGTTTCTTCCGTATTCTTTCTCCGTACATCCTCTTTATCTCCTTTGTATTGCTCTCTCGCATCATAGCTATAGTAGTTGTAGTATTTCTGGTTGCCGTTTTATCTGCGCTCATTGGTATGAACCTTGCAGGCAAGAGCCACGGAGAGGGAGAGGGAGAGTAACCATGGAGGGTTTACAAACGTAGAATGCCGACGATACGTCGCCTGAAGCTGGCCCCAGTTGACTCCCTTGCCGGGGTTTTGCGTCAAACCTACAGTTGGCCCCCAGAAGCTGCGTGTACTCACTACTGCGTCTTGTAACGCGGCGGTATTCTTTCGAGGATCGGGACCACCTCTCTATCTCCCTTGTATCGTCGCTCGCGTCATACCTCTAGTAGTATTCGTACATCTGTCGCCGTGCTATCTGCGCTTTGCATCACCGCATTCACTGTAAGCTATATAGACCTTCGAAGAGAAGGCGTGGGTTCTGCTAGTCTCGCCACCGCAAATGCAAGTTGCTCGAGCGCTCTCCGCTTTGTTCGTTCCAACCACCACCTCCATTTCGTGCACGTCTATTGGAGCGGCGACATCCCATCCCTTTCTACCGAACTTTGCGCGACACTGCTATAGATCCCTTATGTCTGATATTTTTGCGCATCGCGAAGCCTTCGTAGTGACCTGGTTGGCCTACAAACATCCGAAGCACATCCGAGTCAATGAATGACTTCCCATGCGTGCACGCATGACGGTGGGGTCACTATAGGCCGTACCACTCCGGGTGACTGCCATGCTTGTAGTCTCTCCTCAACTCGGTAGAATCGCGGCAGTGAGAGCTCGACACACACCCTCGGACGACCAACAACGGTCTCTGTATACGACTGCGCCCGGAGTGTGCGTGCGAGTGCAAGGAAGCCTTTGACTACCCTGTGACTGCCGGGCCGTACACGGACACCACCCAGCAAGACTACCGGATATGGAGATCTTCTCAAGTGCCACCGGATGTGCTCGGATACGAGGTGCGAGCATGTCGACGTCGTCAAGGTTGCGTTCCATGGTGCCCTCTGGACGCCTCTCGACTTGATGTCCACGTACTCTGGGACAGTATCCGATTCAGTTGCAATAATGTGCCTTCTCCTTGTTGCCTACCGGTCCGTCCGGGCAATGTCGAGACGTTGCTCATCAAGTATCGACCTGATCTCTCTCACTGCTACCCGCGCCGGGTTGTCTTGGTTTTACTCAATAAGTCACCGCATACAAGCTTGCCGATCGCTCAGCTTTTACCCGACCGACTGCCGTGCAAACAATCCGACCGAGGTGGTCGACGATGAGGCTCTGAACGCTTGCCGCCGTAGCTGAGCTCGCAGAATCGGAGGAACCCTCTTTCTTGCAAGCAAGAAAGCCGTCAATACTCTTTGATCCGCGACTGGCGACCGCTATGCAACGGCTGAGGTGCAGGTGACCCAGCCTTCGCGTAGCCTGACCTCATGGCGCTGCTAGAAGTTCGTGTCGGCGGGCCATGACCTTGTTCTAATCTGGACGGGAACTTTAGCATGATGATACGTACGATCTACTTGCAGTGGACGAGAGCACGGTTGTTCTTCGGCTACCATGATCCTCGTCACTGCTTCCTCTCTGCGTGAGTATTTCGCCGATGGCAGTCACCAGTTTGCTCTGGGAGATGCTGGTTCGCTTGGCCATGCTTGTATCCAACTGAGCGCGTCAGCCGCCGGTAGTAACCAGCAGTATAAAGGATGGGCCTTCTCGACGAGTCTCAGCATCGGTCCTCCGACACTCGTACTCCTCGTCCAACGGCAATGTTTCCGACTACGGCCCTCATCTCGCTCACCCTCGCCGCTGTGGCTTACGCCCAGCAGGCCGGCACGCTCACCGCCGAGACTCACCCCAAGCTCTCGGTCTCGACCTGCACTGCTTCCGGTTCTTGCACGGCCTCTCAGCAGTCGGTAGTTCTCGACGCCAACTGGCGCTGGGTTCACTCGACCTCGGGCGCGACGAACTGCTACACCGGTAAGTTCCGATGGAGTTTGATGGGCTATCAGGGGCTGAACTAGATCACAGGTAACACTTGGGACGCTTCGCTCTGCCCGGACGACGCGACGTGCGCGAGCAACTGCGCTCTCGACGGCGCCGACTACTCGGGCACCTACGGGATCACTGCGTCCGGCAACTCGCTCTCGCTCCAGTTCAAGACTGGCTCGAACGTCGGCTCGCGCGTCTACCTCATGGACTCGTCCGACTCCAAGTACCAGACGTTCAACCTCAAGAACCAGGAGTTTACCTTCACCGTGCGCACTCCTCCACATTCCATCATGTTCCTCAGTAACTCAATGTTCTCTTCAGGTCGACATGTCGCAGCTCCCGTGTGGTCTGAACGGCGCGGTCTACTTCTCCCAGATGGACGCAGATGGTGGTGCAGCTCGCTTCCCCACGAACAAGGCTGGCGCTAAGTACGGAACTGGCTACTGTGACTCTCAGTGCCCGCAGGACATCAAGTTTATCAGTGGCAAGGTTCGTATATGCCTACTGCTTATCAGTTCATATATCGACTAACCATCTTAAGGCAAACGTCGAGGGATGGACTCCCTCGTCGAACAACGCAAACACCGGCACTGGTACCTCT